GACAACACAATGACCTCATCAGCAATCCCAAGTCCCTCTACTATAGGCTGTGGGAGAAACAGAACAGGGATGCACTTCCCAAATGAGGTCTCCCAGGGCCATCGGCTAAGTTTTTTACATGATTTGACAGCTTTGATGTTTCCTTTTAAGTTGATTGCTGCTTTAGTTATTTTTGACGTTGACGTATTAAATGAGTGACAGCTGCCATTTAATTTATGTTTATACGAACACTACACATTTAAATAAAACTATTTTTTTACCCATTTTATCGCGAACATTAACTTATTTTATGTACCCGACGTTTCGAGCACTTTACAGTGACCAATGTCAACGGGTAGTACATAATTATAGGAGCCCAAGAAGATGGTAGCACCCAGCTGTTTTCTCTATTGAAATTAGTAAGTTTTATGATTTTAAGGCTCTTGAAAAACTAGTTACTAGAATCCGTTAAAACTAGTTTTATTTAAAAGCTGATATTTAAAGTTTTTAATTTGAAATGGAATTTTGGCGGGAACTTAACCGGCGGCGGATTTGTGCTCCTTTAATATTGTATAAGTAACGCTTTAAAGTAGATTTTGATACTTTAAAGTGGTGTGATTTTGTGTATTAAATGTGAACTTTTATTGGGAACGATGATACAAGTGCTCCGATGGTGATGCGAATCTCAAGATATAGTGTTTGCTTAGGAGCCACGAGATGCTATCGTCATCGACTTTCTGCTGGCTCAAATTGCCGTCAAAATTTTCCAAATTCTTCACAATGTCACGCATCAACATGGTATTTTAATGAATTAAGATATTAAAAAGGATAATTCCATCATATACTTGACGCTGGTAAAAGTAATCTGATTAAAACTACTTTTACGGATTTTATCACGTTTAATTTATTTGATTTTTAATTCCCGAAGTTTCCATGGTATGGTGAAATTAAATGCGATAAAATCCGTAAAAGTAGTTTTAATGAATGTGAAGTGTTCGCGAATATATAAGAAATCGTTAAGTACGGGTTTGAGTAAAAAATAAAAAATAAATAAAATGGTGCATACAGTGTTTTTGTAAAGAAAACCAATTAAGAAATGTTAGTATAAAAGATTCTAAATATTGTTTTGTTATAACACTGTAGATAAAATCTTATTACATGTGATATAAAATAATATTAAACTTTAGAAAAATCTGAACAACACGCATTGATCCTAAGTTGATTATTTTATCCTGGTGATCTAGGAATTCTAGGATAAAGTTTTTAAATTATTGTATTGTCATCAGTCCTTGATGCGAGTGCAAATATTCAAGTCAATCAGCCGTCTACAAGTTGGTGACAATTACATTAAATTATTCCTTTTAAAGATATGTACATGATAGATATATAGACACATACAAGATAACGAAAGCGTGTTAAAGACAGGCGAAACTTCTCAATAGTGAATATCAATTTTGTACTTTATTCCTATATCTTTGAAAATTAAAAAAAAAAGTTGTCTATCAAATAAACCTAAGACGCTCGTTACAAATCTAATAACATTTTATTATAATATTTTACATTTTAATAAAAATGAATATGCAAGATATATGACCTTCTAATGAGAAAATGCCTGTGCCCAACCAGTATATATATATATATATATATATATATATATATATATATATATATATATATAGAGATAAATATCATCTTATAACTAAGATTTTTCGTCACACTTTTTGTTTGCTTTATCATAGACCAGATATTACCATAAAATATTATAAATGTAAAACTAAGTCTTATTGATAAGTAATAAAATTCTGTTTCGTTTAATTAAATTTTCACATGAATTGGTGTTTGTAAATTTAATTAAGTGAAATTGAATAAATTACATGTTGTATATTTAAGATGAGGGATTCTTAAGATATTATCTACGACCACAATGAGTTGTTGAATGTAGTGTCTTAAAATTCTGAAGCTATCCTTAATTGTCCTTTAAGTATTCATGTAGTTACTACGCGCGTAGATACTGTGTGATATGTAAATAATAAATACACGTTGCAATTGTACAGATATTTGCTAAATAAGTATATTATTTTGTTTTAAAACTGTCTTTCATTTACCTCCTAGCTGGTACCCGGCGCGTTGATCCCGCAGAAGAAATAATTCTTGAAATATCGTTTTAAATTTGGAAGTTGTATATTGTTTAATTAAGAATGGTAATATATTCGTTAAAATTATAGAATACTGTATTGAAATTGAATGATAAATAAATGTGTCGGTACAACCTACTATAAGTTAATTGTACTATGCCTATAACTTTAAAACAAGCAATAAGTTGACAAAGTTTTACCGCAATGTGATGAACGGTATGGCAGCGAATAACATACGAACTTTATGTATGATAAATTTTGTATATTTTCTGGGATTTTGTTGTAAAAGCGTATACATCGCCCCAAGAATGAATTACTGACTCGGTGGAGTCGAGTAACTGGTACTACCAGACCTCCGTCACTCGCTCTAGGCCACGCGTTATATGCCTACCGCTCTGTGTATCGTCCACGATACAACCCGACATAGGGCCGTCGCACGCCCTCCTGAGCACGGTGCAAGCGCCGTGCACGTTTCCCGAGCTTACTTGTCGAAATGCCAAGACCATATGTTATTATTGTGCAGTGGATGGGTGTAAAAGTCAAAAAAACAAATGAAAAATTGTCTTGTTTTGCATTGACTCATGTATCAGAGTATTTATTGTATAAATGTAGCAAAAAAAAAAAACAACTTTCTATGCTTTGTTACAGGAAAACCCTAATGTTGACGAAACAACACTGTACCTATACTAATTTCAAAGCTTAAAATAAAGATTCATCTTTTTATGGTAGGCTAAAAGTCCCACCAGAACCGTTTAATAATTATATTGAAGAATTATAAAGAGCATTCTTAAATAATTTTGACTACGTCGGCCTGGCAGCATCGTGTTGCAAATTTTACAAACTATTGATTTTTCTCTAAAGCTTTGTTCCTGTGTTTTTCTCATCATTAGTTTTATTAAAATTATTTACGCGATTTAAGCGGAAACCTTCAACGACACAATTTAATTAACCGGGAATTCAGATTTTGTAAAGGATTTAAAACTCTTATGTATATGTTTATACGTCATTTTTACTTAAAACTTATTGCACAAAACAACTTATTTACTTGACCAAATTGGCAAATAAGCAAAATGGCGGATTGTGCCGTACTATGTACTTTGAAAACTATTTCAGCGCTTTAACATTAGGTTTTATTCTGCCAAACGCACCAATAATCATCATAGGTACAACCCTAGCGCATTCGTCCGAATGACGCGCTTGCACGTGAGTCGCACGGCGGTTAACACAATCTCGACTCTTCGTAAACGTACTTATAGTACATTTTCTTCTCGCTACGAGCAGCAGATATTATTATTAAGATTTTGTAGGCTATTATAGCGTAGGTATTTTCGGGGGTGGTTTGGTACTATGCTGTGTTCTTATTTTAAAGATATTTTTTTCGTATTTTTTTTTACGTCATTACATTTTTAACGTTATATTGATTTCCTTAAATTTTTGTCTCAGTGACTTTTGGTTTTAAATTATGTATTGCTCTAATGGCCCTCTTCTGCAAAATAAATATAATTTCAGAGTCAGTCGCGTGTCCCCATAGCAAAATACCATACGACATAATGCTATGGAAATAACTAAAGTAAACTATTCTAGCTGTTTCAACACTGGTAAGAGTTCTAATCTTTTTTTACAGCATATGCTGCAGAACTAAGTTTGCTAGCTAGTTTTGATACATGGGGGGAGCCATTGAAGCTTTGCGTCCAGTATGATTCCAAGAAAAATGGTGGTATCAACAAGACTCAGTTCCTCCCCATTTAAAATTACATTAGTATTGACATGTTTAACATTAGGAGTGACGAATTTCAAACATTTAGTTTTAGTTCCATTCAAATGCAAATTATTAACATTAAACCAATTGACTAACTTAGCTATAGCATTATTTACTTCGTCGTAATTTAATAACGTAATTTAAGAACAAACAAACATTAATTTTTATGTATTAGATGATGACACCCAACGATGATTCTCCCATGTACCGCGGCTGTAAGATTCGACTAAGGGAAATTATTGCAAACATAATCTTCTCATGACTTCCGATAGGTGGCGTTATATCGATCCCGAGAGAAAGTTAACGTGGGACGTTGAATACTTACATCTTGGGTATGTTCCGAAACGTTTTCAGTATACTGCCAAAATACGAATGACGTCATCAATTGACACTAATTGTACTGGCGTGCCGCCACCATATTGTGTCGGATATCCGGCCATAATAAAACAATTTTTAATTGTGTGTGCGCTCAATGAAACATGCCAGAATTTGTTTTTATTTATTCAAATACAAAAATTGTAGAATAATTGCTGGTATCTCCATTAGGAGGATATAATGATTTTTGGAGCATAAAATGACAAAATAATCGCCAACACTTCCAATATGGTGCAAATGTATGACGTCATATACTGTCCTATGGTGTGGAACGAATCACCAGTATAGCGTCGATTCATGACGTCATTTGCATTGGACAGAACACTGGGTTCTATTATGGAACATACCCCTTATGATCTTACACCGACACGGCACAAAAAACAACGGTCTAACGCGGCTAGTCTAGGCCTGGGGCTTACAGTTATATAGAAGTCACAGATAATATCTAACACAGATACTATCTAATACAGATACTATATGATAGTATGAGGGATTGTACCGCTGAATAATACAGAGTATCCATGCTAAAGCAGGTGTTTTTTTTTACAATATTTAGGTGTCTGTTATAATATTAGGATAATAAAACTTTTTTGTAATGTTTTTTTTACTCTATTGATTGTGTCATGTTATCGGTTGTCATAGTAACGTTGTTTCATAACAATCAAATTTTAACCAAATAATTTGCTGCTCAATCTTGAGCTTTCTTTTTAATTTTTGTATATAAAATGTATTTTGTATGGTGATTGAAGAGGATGTCAGTATTGAGTCTCATGCCAGAAGTCAAAAGTAAAGATTTAAGGTCGGTTTAATTTTAATTTTAATTATTATTGTACTGTAAACGTGGTAAAGACATGCAGCAAGAATGGGTCGGCTTTTTTATAGGATAGGGTGACAAACGAGCACACAGTCCATGATAAGTGGTAGCTGTGGCTCAAAGACATCTACATCTATCCTCGATTACGAATCAAAATTCAGATGCGTTGTCACCCGTGAGGACCAAGATGGAATGCCTCGCTTCCAGTAAAAAGGGTCTCCGGTTTTCTACACTCACCGTACGAAACACAGCAGCATTAAGCTACTATTTTACCCTGGAATTCCGTGAGAGCGTGGTCCCTCCCCGGTCGAGCCGACCCATTCGTGCTACAACTATACTACTAATATAACTGCAGCTTGATTTTACGTCTGTACGTATAAAACTTACCGGTGTATGGCTACGCGTTCACGGAATACCAGCGTGAAATAGCAGCTTAATGCTGCAGTGTTTCGTACGGTGAGTGTAGAGAACCGGAGACCCTTTTTACTGGTAAACAGGCATTCCATATTAGTCCGTAGAGATAACAACGCATCCGCATTTTTATTCTTAATCCAGTATAGATATTAGATGCCTTTGTATCAAAGGTTCCACTTACCATCCGGTGGACTGTGTGTTCGTTTATCACCCTTATTATATAAAAAAATATTTAATGAGTTTTTACGTATATTCAAAATGAAGTAATTTTATAATCAAAAAAAGACTTACGTATAATGAAGTGTTTTTGTAGCGATTTATTTAGAACCTGGTATAAGTTTGGGGTCGTATATTAATCACGTGATTTTTTAACAACGATTTAGCCGGCCCCTGCCTCTTGGTGATGCGAGGTTTTAGACTAAGGAAGGTTGTTTTTGACTCGCATAAAAATAATAAAGGAAAGGCGTAACTATGTGAAAAACATATAATTGTACTGGTATATGACTATATTTAATAGACATTTTCCTCAGACCACGGATTAGTGAGATTTTCTTCCACACTATTAAGTGGATAAGAATCTTTTCTTGTACGTTAGCAGTTGGCACTATGCTTTATTGAAGATCAAAGTCGGTCTCATCAAGCCACTGGGCACACATTTTTCGCACACTACGCAGAGAATCTTTCTGGATCTACCGACCAGTAGTCGGTGTGGATGCGTGAAAGACGAACATTGTGCATATCCGGATTATTATTGTTCGGATTATTCGGTTGCTTGTGACATGAATTCACATGTGCCTTAACATTCTTCTTCGTACATAAGTACAGTCCACACCGTTGGCTCGTCCTTCCCACAAGTTGCTCACGATCCTTCTTCAGGCTAGGGTACAGGTCATAAGGCAATTTGTCAAAGCCATCTTGCGTTGGGGTAATTCCACGTGACCGACTGTTTAACATTGTCTGAACTGATCTGACCTAAGCAGTAAAACAAGTTTCATTATCAACTTTCAGAAAAGAATCCGTTGAGAGCGTCTACAGCAGCAACTCCCGCTTGAACCTGCTTAGCAAAAGGAAGCGCATGGTTCCACTAACTATTGAAATGTCGAGCCACTCGATGGGAAAAGGCGACCGCTATGTGACCCAGCGAGTGCTTTCTGCGAAGACGCATCGAGTGAAGCAGCTGCAGAATCAGCTGGCTGACGCGCACTATCATTTGCAGGTGTTTTATCACTATAGTTCTTTTCTTGATAACAGGGTTCATTGACAAGTATAGCGTACGTGCGGGTAATATTGTCACCCTTGCTCACTTTCTTATTACTCAAAAACTAAAGCCTCGTTTGCATAGATGACTCTGCAATAAGATAGTTCTTCATAAGTCAATTGAATACTATAGGGTCAAAATGGCGCTGGTTTATGGACGCCATTTGGACATTTGACAGTACAGTAAATATGGTCATTGATTGTTTCTTTAAGTAGATTTTGTGGTAGTATAGTGGAATACTTTAATAATTTATTACCTATCGCCAAAGCTTGTTTGCTATTTTTTTCTTAAAATCTTATGTAGAATGCGACTGTAATTTCTTATATTTACGCGAACACTACACATTTAAATAAAACTAGTTTTTACGGATTTTATCGCATATGTTAACTTATGTTATATTCCCGACGTTTCGAGCACTTTACAGCACGGTCATATAAAATAAGTTATATACGCGATAAAATCGGTAATTAAACAAGTTTTCTTTCATTATACGACTTTGTGTTTTTGTCTCTGTCAGTTTTATTATCATATTACTCTCACGTACCTTAGCATAGAATTAAAGTAACACTGTACATACAACCAATTGGGCTACTTAAATGTTTATGTTTTACCAGCCAGTAAAAGTCTACTGCCATCAAACTTCTTGGCAAGCGGGTTGCTAACCGTAGTTTTTTATTTTTTGTCGTTATCAGGAAGACACTGCTGCCCATCTCCTGATTTGCTTCTCTCTGTTGCCTCGTACGACACCCAAGGTATGATATGGTCTAGTTCTTTATTTGGCCGCAATTAGTTTTGGGTGGACTTCTTGATCTCTAAATATTAAAGTGTTTCGGACAATCAGGTTACCTTATGATGCCGAACACCTTATCAACTGTGAGGATATAACAAAAGTACTATGGGTCCCGCTGGGTTTCTTGCCGGTTCTTCCCAGGACAGAGAGTTTTACCAAACCAGTGGTAAAGCATTAATGACTTTTCAATAGGTATTTTTGTATAATATATCTACTAAAAATATATTGAATAAAAATGATTCTATCCTATTCTATGAAATTTAAAGTGGACGCCCATCCTCTGAGCTATTATGATAAAACGTTCTGATATAACGACGACGCTGTGGCCGACAAATACAACTCACTATTTTGATTTAATATTTTTTGCTTTTAAATTGGTCTTGATTCCTTTTCTTACACGTAAATATTGATAAACATTTCTTAGGGTCGCGTAGTGGCGTTGGAAATATCCGTAGTATCATATGATATTTTTTGTACGTGCTAGAGCCACGCTGCAGTTATATCATGGTTGTAGCACGAATGGGTTGGCTCGAACGGGGAAGAACCACGCTCTCACAGAATACCAGCGTCAAATAGCGGATTAATGCTGCTGTTTCGAATGGTTAAGCTTAGAGAACCGGAGACATTTTCTACTGGATACGAGACATTCCATCTTAGTCCTCAGGGGTGACAACACATCTTCACTGTGATTCTTAATTGAGGATAAATGTAGATGTCTATGGACAGAACAGGCTCGTTGGTCACCCTTATGCTATTTAATAAAATTACAAAGAGAAATTGTTCATTAAAGATGTAAAACGAACCCAGTATGGTGTCTGGACCATTCCGAAACCAACTACTGGTGCCATACGTGGTGACGAATACGATAAATTGTAATGCTTTGAGGGACTATAAAGAGCAGTAGACTGTATTTATTAATATAATTTTCTTCATAATTTTAGGAGCTCAGTAATGAGAATCGGGTTTTACGTGCCTTACAAAAAAAACAAGAAATCGCTCTACAAAGGTGGGTCCTCGTTAACTTTTTTAATGTCACTAATTGCTCGAAAATATATATCAGGCCTTTCCTCTGGCGTTGCAGATGTTCATGGGCGGCATAGTCACTTACCATCAGTTGAATAGCATGCTCGTATGCTCATATGAAATCATATGTTACCAACTTATCAAAAGCGTTTTGAGTTTCAAGTGTTAGTTTCTGGGAAACGGATCACTGATAGTAAAACAGGGTCACATAATATTTTTTATATTCACGTAAATACTCCACATGAAATAAATTAACACTAAATGCGACTTGATTTGTTTTATTTAAAAACTATGGAACAAATTATTGCTTGTACATATAAATACAGCTAAAGGTTGATCATATAATATTCCACTTGTTTATATACCTCTCTATATGGCGTGTAATACATGTTGTATCCTCGATTCTGAATCGAAACGGCTCCGGGGCTTGTCCTTGTGAAATTGGAGTATATAAACTGCACCCGCAATTCAGCTGAAAATCCAAGTGTAACTTTTAAAAAAAGAAAAAAAATACAGATTACTCCTAAGGACTAAAGTCGAATATTTGTTACCGGTAAAATTCACGTCACTGTACGAAATGTGCGGCATTATGTTGTCAGCTATACAATTTCTGCTAAAAATTGTTACAAGCTAGCTTGTTTATGAGCGCTTTTAGATCTTAAAGGTTTACAAAGAAGTAAAACGTATATGTTTGTTTCTTTTTATATTGCCGCTATAATATATAAAATACCGAGGAAGATACCAGTTATTATTATATATATATAAAATAAAAACTTCATGACAGCTCGATTTTTTTTCTCAATACTCACTCAAAGTAAATACAACTACACGTCCAAAATGGCTGAAATTTTGATGATTACAGTGTAAAAAGATACACAACTACATTCAGTAGCTATTATTAACGAGTGCTGCCACGTATCGAAAACTTTTCAGACCACCCTGGTACACTCCTTTCTCGATGTAGACAAGGTACAGGTGTATATTTTTTTTTTAAGTGGTATCGTCCTCAGTATTTTTAATTTTGTTTGTGATGGTCATTACGCTAATATTAATTTAAGAATACTTAAAGTACTTAATAATACTTAAACCAATTCAGGTACGAGAATTCGAACGCTGAACTTCCTCAAATTCTAAATTCACACAACGAGGAGATGCGGGTGCAGCAGAGCAAGTACAAGCAGCTGAAACAGCAGCATAAAGAGACGGCGATGCGGCTCAAGGAGCGCGACATGCAGCTTCAACAGCTGAGGGATGAACACCAGCATTTGTTGGAATTAAGCAAGGACAAGTATAAAAAGTTTATTTTTAAATAGTTTAAAACTTGTGTCTTGTCTGTATACAATCTTTAAACGATGAAATCTAATATTGACAAGGAGATCGAATATTGACAACTTAACAAGGAATGCCACAAAACACGGTCCTGAGCCACCTGCATCCATGGACTTCCTGCACGTCTTACCAGGTCGACAATCCATCTAATCTATCCATTTATTTACTTATTCATACTTAATTATTATTTTATTTTAAATGGTGAATAAAAGGTTTATAAAGGGTACACTTTTTTTATAGTATTGGGTGACAAAAGAGCACACAGTCCACCTGATGGTTAGTGGATGCTGTGGCCTATAGATATCCACATTTATCCTCAATTAAGGATCAAAACGCAAATGCGTTGTCACCCCTGAGGACTAAGATGGAATGCCTTGATTCCAGTAAAAAGGGTCTCCGGTTCTCTACATTCACCATACGAAACAGCTGCGTTACGCTGCTATTTTACACTGGTATTCTGTGAGAACATGATCCTGTCCCGGTTGAGCCGACCCATTCGTGCTCTAACTACAATATAGCTGCAGCGTGGCTCTACCAAGTACAAAATGCATTTAGGCACTTATTGCGTTTAGACATTCTCTCTCAGTCAAAGTACAAAATGCATTAGGCACTTATTGCGTTTAGACATTCTCTCTCAGTCAAAGTACAAAAATAAAATTTACTTGTTTGTCATTCTTCTCTGCATTTCTGCATCTATCTGAATAAGATGAAACTTTGGTAAGGTTTCTCACAATAAATCCATTGTAAGGTATGTCGGTACAGCTTCTAATATACGTATAAAAATTAATCACAAACAAAAACAGTGGGTGTGTAATAGTCCTATATGATATTATATTAACTAATTATCAGAAATTAACAATTAGTCGGCTATTTACGATTACTATATTGATAACAAATATAAAACACTTGGTTTTTCTAATTTAATAAGAAACCTTCTCGAACGAGAGAAGCTTCAAGCCCAAGTCAACGAGCTCACAGCGAAAGTGCAACAGCAAAATGAAACTATAAGTATGCTGCAGCGTAGGATCGCGCTCGAAGCCAAGAACTTCAAGCATCAGCTGCAAAATGAGATCAACAAGCACAAGGACACGAGGCACGATCTGGACTTGGCTATTAACAATGCTGATAAGCTATCTACTATTATTGAGGTATGTTGTCTTTTAAAGAAAGCGTCCCTTTGGTAACTTGTCCTCCTTCATTGAATTAAAGCAATATTTCTTTAGAAATCTTTGCCCGATGGATTCAGAAAAGTGCCTGGATTTAAATTGAAAATATCTTTTTTAATTAAGAAATATATTATTCCATATTTCCCCCAATTCAGAGGAAGCATTTTCCAAAATCCTTTCTTAGTGGTTGTCTACATCGAGAAAGGAGTGTACCAGGGTGGTCTGAAAAGTTTTCGATCTCAACGTGAAGATGGCAACACTCGTCAATAATAGCTACTGAATGTAGTTGTGTATCTTTTTACACTGTAACCATCAAAATTTCAGCCATTTTGGACGTGTAGTTGTTATTTCACAGTCGTTTGAGTGAGTTTATGTGAGCGTTTTTGTGAAAATGAAAAAAAAGGAGTATCGAGCTGTCATGAAATTTTTATTTTTGAAAGGCAATACACCTACGCAAATCAAAGATGAGTTGGACTCTATGTATAGAGACTGCACCATCATTTACCACAGTGAAATTTTGGGCAGCTGAATTTAAACGTAGTCGTGAGAGCTTGGCAGACGATGAGCGTTCGGCACGTCCAAAAACTGTAAATACTGACGATAATATCGCTAAAGTTCACCAAATGGTGCTAGACGACCAACAACTGAAAGTAAGAGAGATAGCAGAGGCTATAAAAATGTCCAAAGAACGAGTTTGTATATTAAATGAAGATTTAGGCATGAGAAAGCTGTCAGCGCGTTGGGTGCCGCGTTTGCTCACGTTAGACCTAACACGTGTTCGAATGAACATTTCTAACGCTCTGTTGGTGTAGTTTAGGCGCAATAAATCCGAGTTTCGGCGCTGATTAATTACTGTAGATGAAATGATTTCTTATATTGCGAACACTACACATTTAAATAATACTAGTTTTTACGTACTACTAGTAACTAGTATTATTTATATATGCCCTAAATAAAACTGTGGATTGCAACGGAGGACCGGCCCCAAAAAAAGCAAAAACTGTTTTTTCGGCTAGGAAAGTGATGGCGACTGGTTTTTGGGATAGTCATCGATTTATTTTTTCTCTCTCTTTATAATCGTTATCTTAAAAAAAGGAAATAACATTACAAGAGCATACTACGCATCGTTTCTTGACAAACTGAAGGAAGAAATTATGGATAAGCGGCCACATTTGCAGGGAAAAAATCCTGTTTAACCATTATACGCGCCGTCTCACACCGCAGCAGTTGCCATGGCGAAAATTCACGAATTACGGTTTAAACTGCTTGACTATCCACTTTATTCACCAAATCTAGCCGCAGGTGACTTTTTTGTTCCCTCATCCAAAAATTGCGTTCGGAAGACAGAGATTTTTGTCAAATGAGAAGGCAATCACCTTTGTGAACAATTATTTTATAGAGAAAAACATCGGTACTATTTGAATGGGTTAGTAGTAGTTAGAAGTGTGTAGTAGTAAAATTTAAGAAAAATGTCTTGTATATTTGTTAGGTCGATAAGTTTTCAGACCACCCACGTATATTCTAAATTTCAAGTCAATCGGGCGTAGCTAAATATATATTCGTCCCGTAAGTGTTTTAAGAAGCAACTATGGGAATTACCAGAATCATCTTATGGGTCTATAGATGGCGTTGTCGCCATCTTGTTTATGTACTGGCGACAGGTATCAGCGTCAAAGATGCTCACATCTGCTACTACGATCATCAGTCCACCGGCCCAGGTTCAGCGATTGACTTTTACGGGCCGACGAAGAAGAAGATACATGTATTTAGAGTGCAAGAGAGAATATACCAAATTTTCTTCCAAATGCTAATCTAATAATGTCCTCTAGACCGAATTTCGGTCACGGCGGCCTGCCTCAACGGTGACTAGCCATCGGCACAGGACAGGATTATAGTGCCCAAGTGTATGGGCAAGCACAGGTGCACTCTCTATTCCCTCACTCTTATAATCCAATAGGACGGTAAACCGACATGACCGGAGAGAGATCAGGCGCAGGATCAATGACTTTACGTGCTTTCCGAGGCACTGGGTTGACACACTGCCAACTTCCTGACTCCGGGCAGCTATTGAGAGTTGATATTGAAGCTATTGTTCTTGACGGAATATCTCTCATTCTCAATAAGAACTCAATAATTGATATTTTGGCCTGACCTGGGATTCGAACTCAGGACCTCATGATCAGCAGTCACACTATTACAAACATTAGACCGACGAGGCAGTCTAATATGTAGGGATCCTATGTAGAGATACATGGTGTACCTCGCTGCTTGACAAGGCTTTGGTGAAAACACTGAAAATAATTTTCACATACTTGGCAGTCATTAACGTGCCTCAGTGGTGAGTATGGCCAAATCTTACAAGCAATGCATGCCAGCTGGTGCTTTCTTGGAAAGTCCTATGTCCTGCTGTGGGCTGAACAGATGTTAATACTAATTATGAATGTTGTTGTGGCTTCGGAACAGTCCCGATAAAATATCCTTTTCCTAAGTATTTTCTACTCAAGAATGGTGCGCCACCTATTGTCAAGAAAAAGAAGAAACAAATGGCCGCGTACGCATAAACCGTGTTCGTTACCGCTCGTTTATAATTACTCAATAAATAAAGTTGTAAGACTATCGTGCAATTGCTCGTGTCCATATACATTCGAAGTACAGTGTGGTGTCTATTAATACACTAGAACTTCAACATAAATATTTTACATTTCACCATAACTACGAGGAGTGCTCCAGTCTTGTGAGTATCCTTGCCTTATCTACCCAGTTCTAAAACCATTTTCATTTACTTCCCGGTTGGGATCATCGGGTTAGCCAGCCCTTGGTCTGGTTGTTCTCTGGTTCCTAAAATCACCAACGAAGCACTTTGCGAAACATTCAAGCCGTAACAAATGTAATAGCAGTTTATTGTTTATTACATTTAAAGAGCATGTAAGTCTCTTGTTGGATATAGGTTCTGCAATATTTTAGGGAGGCCGTAATCGCCTTGCTCAATAGCTAGTAACACCAGTTATTCAGCTGTACAGAAACAGAAAGCTAAGCTTATTATAATATTAATGAAAACATAATGTTACAGCATCTTCTCAGTATGAACTCTTGGATGATTTTAATCTCTGAGAATAAGCTGGAAGTGATCCAAGCTGTTTCAATTATATACAATATAACGGTTTTAGCGAGCCAGTGATAAAAATAAAAATTATTTTCAATAAATTTGTTGCTATTTTTGTTAAATAAAGATGATTCTATTCATTTTGATTATGCTCTAGTAACTGGTATGATTATTATATTATATCTGGCATATACGAGATTTATAGCTATCGGATACAATTTGTTTAGTTGCTTCTTAAACGGCCACTAAATGAAATGCAGTGATGAATTCTCTTATTTTTCTAATTAATTAAGTGCATTTAATAATCAATATTAAATGTACAATAAATCAAAATTTTTATTCTTTTTATTTCATAGATAAAAGAAAAAATGCTGAGTACAGTCGCCAGCCGTGGTGTTAAGTCTCCTGTAAAAACAAGCTCGGTAATGAGCACAATGCGTCCTGCAAGCAAAACCAGCAAAACCGTTCAGGAATCTAATGCTTACAAATCCGGTGATATGCGTCAAAATGTAATTTACCTTGATTTATAATATACCTCTTAGATAATTGTCAAAGTATCGGTAAATATACTTACATATCAATGTTTTTTGAAGACGTTAATCGTATAAATTAATAACTTTCAATAATTTATTCAACCTTCATTTGTAATACTTTACTTGTACTTTATTCAAGTTACACAATTTGACGATTGCAGGTTGATCAAAATATTATTGCAAAATTATGTGAGAACTCTCGTTCTATTAGCAGCGCGTTTTCACACGAAGAAGAAACCAGTTCTTCAACTGAATCTCGTTCTCGTTACGTTCGAAGTGGTACTAATTCTAGCAGTACACGCTCTACACCTAATCCTACTAGTAAGAGCTCTAAAGCATCCGATAATATTTTAGAACTTGCTAAGACTGTTCAAGATGGAATGGCAGATTTAGCGATATCAGATGAAGATAATGCGCTTCGGAATTGTTCACCAGATGAAATGCAGAAGAAATTGGAAATCCTAAAGGCGGATCTGCTCAACAAAATCAAGAATAACGAAGAACCAATGTCAAGAAGGAATAGTGCTCTAAGAAGGAAATCTACTGAGGAGTCTATTGAAGAACAAATAGAAGCAGAAGTAGAAATTGAGCGACCTAAATCCAGAGCTCGTAGCTCTAATGTTTCTTTTCATAATAGCGTTACAGTTGAAGAAACCAACACCAACATTACTATACACGATTTCACCATAAGTGACACAGATAAAAAACCTAAGCGAGAGAACAGTGGAATAGAAAGAAAACATGAAAAACCAATAGAAGCTTACTGTAAAGACATCATGCACAATCTGGAGAAAAGTAGTAAAGTAATAGATAGACACATAAAACAATTTAGTAACACTAAGTTTGAAAGTGATAAATTAGTTCACCAGTTACAGGCTGTGGACAAAATAAATGAACTGGTCAATTCTAACGTAGAAATACCCGATGAGGCGTTGTCCGAATTGAACAATAATTTTAATATCCTAACAGACCAAGTTTTAACTGAAGCACCGATCGCAAGAAAACGATCAGTGTCCGGTCGAAAGAATTCTAGGCTTGAACCTAGAACTAGTTTGCTAGGAGATACGAATATGTCAAACCAAGATTTATTAGATGACTTACTGGGGAAGAAATGACAAACGCTAAGTGTTTTTCATAAAAGTAGTCATAGTGATGCAAGATATCACTGTCCTTTGTAATGAACTATTTTTATTATGACTTGAATATTACATATATAGCAATCATGTGATTGAATTGATATGCAAAGGCGCATGGTATTGTGACAATATTGCTTATGAGTATGTTGATAGAATCCTCGATCAAAGATTCTTTTACTTATAGATAACTTGGTATAATCAATAAATCTTCTGTTTAATATAGAATAATAAAGTTTTATAATTCATATTTATATACAATTTATGACGTCACTTTCTTTGTTCAGAGCATGAAAATAAATGGAAAAATAATATGAAATATAAATTTCAAGTAGGCTGCGAATATTTATGGAAGATTTCTACAAAAACATTGCTAAGACGTTGACATGTTTGATTTCTTTTTTTTAAATTACATACTCGCATTCAATTCATGTAGTCCTTTGAAAATGAGGGATATCTAAAAATATACTCACGTAACCTATGAGACCTTTTCGGTTTTGAATGCCAAGCTTAATCGCTCATTAAGGATTCTTTCTTCAATCGAAGATCACCTACAATTATATAATATTAAGATTTTATTTTGAAAATGATGAAATTTTTAATATTCTGTAAAAGTAACTCTAAGACCGGCAGCTATAGCGTATTTAAATCCCAATGCTTGGATGGAACTGCAAATAAATGCAAGCTATACTAACATTTATTTAGGCATTTGGAGCTAATTTTTGGAAAAATCTTTTGTATTTTATCACTATTTTAATCGAGGCTAGCGTTATAAAAAAACAAGAGTATTTTTATTAAAGATACAAGTGATAATTTCTATGTATTTATTTAATTTTTAAAACCTAGCAAAATTTTGAGTAATTTTATAAACTTGTTAAAAATAATGTATTTTTTACTTTTAAATGTCTGTAAAACTTAAATGTAACCTTAAAAAATTCTTCGTAGCTTCACAGTATTAATGTATTTGTATACTGAACAAGAAATATATTTATGATATCCAAAATAGAATAGTGATTTGTTTATTGCAACTAATGATAATATTTTTTTTCTGTCATAAAGTACAAAGTTTATCCCAATATAATTTTCATATGACAAGGTTATGCCAACTACATAATGGTTTGTAGCAGACCAGTATTTTAGGAGGTTATTATGTAGATTACAAATATTATTCTTTGGTTTGGAATATAATTTGAATATTGCTAGGAAAATTGTTTAGCAAGATTGTTTTATATCAAGTCTAGAACCACAAATTTTTGTTTGTAATAAAGTTTATTTATTTTTAGAACAGCATTTTTTTTTTGGTTGTGTATAAAATAATTCCCACTATCCCGTGTTATTCCGTGGATGTCGCAAGAGGCGACGGAGGGAAATGAAGCAGGAGATGGGTAACAGCATCTCCCTGATACCCCTAGCAGGCAAGTAGTTGCATTCCGCCTGCCAAGCATGGCAAATATATAACGAGGATTCCGCATATTATGAGATCCGTATTCACAATCTTCATTTTTTAGATTAAGTGTAACAAACGAACACAGTCCCCTTGATGGTAAATGGATACAGTGACCCATAGATCCATTCGTGGAACAACCAACATATAGCTGTAGCATGGTTCATGGCATTGGGATCTTGCTCGCAGACGGTTTTTTTATAGGAGAGGGGGCAAACGAGCATGCGGCTCACCTGAGGGTAAGTGGTTACCGCCGCCCATGAGTTAAGGTTATAATCAACTGCAACACCAGGGGGGATTGCAGATGCGTTGCCGGCCTTTTAAAAAGGTATAGGCTCTTTTTCTTGAAGGTCCCTAAGTCGTATCGGTCAGGAAACTAGTTTAAAACTCGATATGTATAGAGGGTGCAGCATGAATGGGTCGGCTTGACCAGAGCAGGACCGCGCTCTCACAGAATACCAGCGTGAAACAGCGGTTTAATGTTGCTGTGTTTCGTATGGAGAGTGTAAATAAGCGGACCCTTTTTACTCGTAAAAGGCATTTCAACTTAGTTCTTCAAGGGTGATATTTTGGAGTACTATTATATCTATCACTCATACATAGTAAACTAGATTAGAACTATATAATAATGCTCAATGACGATTTATCCTGTAATTAAAAAGAAAGAAAGGAAACTATTTGACATCACAAAGAAAAAGAAATAAAACCCCAGATAGAAAATACCAGAGAATTTGTGTGAAGTAAAATTAGGTCCCTATTTCAGCTAATTGACGCTGTATTAAATGAAAGCAACGCTGATTTTCTAATAGAGACCAATATTGAAACAACATTTAAAAAAAGTATTAAAAGTCCTTTCTATTTGCTTTTTCTCTTTATTGTTGGTAGAAAACTGATTATTAAAAGAATATCGATTTAAAAAATCTCGTAAATATAAAAAAAAATTATCACGATGCGTTGAAACCACACTAAATCCTGCCTACTCATGAATATTCAAAGAGAAATTACTGAACTGAGCGGCGTTCTTACTGAATGAAATACCAAAAATACTTGAATAGATAGAGGTTCAGATTCAAAAGGTGAATTGAGTTATAAAGTCGTTATAACAGCCTGAATACATCCCACTGTTGGACACAGAAGTCCTCTCATTTTCGTAAGTCAATGAAAGTAATCTACAGTTGAACATGGTCGAAATTAAAATCAAGGATCGTTCTCTAGAGCTCTATGTGTGTTCGTCGGAGTCTAATAGCTTTCGACTAAACAATTTTTTTGAATAAAACTAAATTTACGAATTCTATCGCATTTAATTAACTACTTTTACTTATTTTTAATTAACGACGTTTCGGGGGGACTGGGATGTTTGACGTCCCAATGTCATTGTTAGCTCGGCTACCTTCAGTTTTTGAATATTCATTTTTGGTCCGATTTACGCAAAACGAGCCTACAGTATCTTGAAGTTTTGCAGTGGTATGCTTGGGTTTGGGTTTAATTTTGTTAATTATAGGATTCCAAGCGGATGGCAGCACCTAACCATCTTCTCAATTGAAATTAGGATGTTTTTAATTTCAATAGCCTCGCGTATCATCCTTGGAATCGGTGTTCTTTTGCGTGGATTTGTGGTTTATCAAATCCGATGTAATGGTGGGGACGATCTTGAACATGTTCACAGACTGCAGACTTCCCGGGGCGTCGGTGCTTCACGTCAGCTATATGTTATTTCACGCGAGTTTTTATGGATCTTTTTGTTTGACCTATGTAAGAGAGACCACATTTACAATCTAACTTGTACACTCCTGCATCTTGTAGAGGGATATTACACTTGACGGATGGTAAAAATTGACTAATCTTCTTTGGCTGCTTGTAGTATGTTTTAATGGAAGCTCATTTCAAGATGTAGCCAACCTTGTCTGTGACTCCTCTGACATATTATGATAGTACAGCAGGAACACGCTCGACTGTGGCCGGCTTCACTCGGTCACTGTGACGTAGGCGCGGGACCCGAAGCTTGTTGTCTTGAAACACTTGCTTGACATGCTGAAGCTCGGCGGCCAGATGTTTTCTGTCACAGATCGTGCTCTCTGAAACAAAGATTTACCCACGGTAGCTAACTGTGAAGGATGATTCACCATTTAAATATCGGTTGGTAGCTGTAAAGCACCCGAAACGTCGGGAATTAAAAATAAGTAAAAGTAATTAATTAAACGCGATAGAATCCGTAAATTTAGTTTTATTCAATGTGTAGTGTTTGCGTAAATTTAAAAAATCATTTTTTATTACTTATCAAACTTTTTTACAAAAAAAAAATCTGCCTGGTCTATTAGCTCTAGAGCCAATTTTTTTAGAGGTGTGAAAAGCTATTGTGGTTTTTGTATTAATTTTAAATAAATATGATTTAAAAAAGCAAAATAACGGCCACCTTCAACAATGAACATGGGTACAAATTGCTTTAAAAAATTTGACCTCAGTCGTGCCAAGCCATGATTTCCCCATGGATTCTCTAACATGGAAGTTCTTGCTTTAGGATTTTTTTTGTGTAACCCTTTAGAAACGAAAAGTGTCAATTGCATAAATAACACCGAATATATGATCACGTCCGAATTGCAATGTAGGCTATAAAGCTTTGACGCTTTACGATCTACTAACTCGGTTTTATGTTGTTTGTGACCAAAAGTTTCAGATTATTTACGTGTGTGTTTTTATAGTTGTATATCCCAATATATATATATATATATATATATATATATATATATATATATATATATATATATATATATATATTGAAATACCATGTATAGACCATATGTTCTTACATATTATTTCCTTATTTTATATTCTTCTTCACCATGACTACGAATGAATGAATTACATCGGTTATTCGTTGTTATAATATTGCACGTTAATTATGCCGATAGGAAGGCATTAAATAGAGTGGCTAGCATATTATCCGCTTTAAAATAATTACTTGAATTATTTATTTAGTGCAAAATTAAAAAAAAAATCTATTTTGATAATGTTTAACAATCTTGGGTGCTAACCGTCTGTATTCTATCTAGTGTAAGAAGAGAATCAATGCTATTAATGTGCAAAAGAAGTCAATTTAGGGTGGTTGCCCCAAACACCAGCCACGCCCCTAATTCCAGCCTTGTCGCCTTTTTATTTCATAAATAAGGTTTCTAGTAGTCATCACTACTAAATGAAAATCTTCCAAACTGTAGGAAAGCATATTTCAAATATTATTACACAGTTATACATCTAATAGTTTGAAATTAAAAATCAAAACGCATAGGTACGCAACGGAAAACGCTCATTTCCTAATTTTTTGACAAGTTCTGGTCTCGATAAAATTAAGCTTAATTTACATTAGCTCATCTTTAGGCTTTTTGATTTGCATGAATATGACTCTAGACATAGTAGTGCAGTAATTTTTGTTTAAGTTAACTAGTTTTTTTATTTTATTTTAGTGGAAATTAATGAGGCTGTAATTACATATACGAAATATATGGAGTGCATAATGTCAGCCGTCAGGCTGATATTTGGTTTT